CACCTCTAAGAGGGAACTAACAATGGTGTCTGCCATGTATTGTTCAATTTCTGGCAAAAAGAAACCATTCAGCAAGTGCTAACCATTATTACCCAAAGCCATTTCATAAGCAGTCAGGAAGGGAAAGACAAGGGAGGCAAATGTGGAATTTTTTCTCTGGACAGGAGTTTTTAAAATACAAGTGCTTGTTCATTCAAACAATATTTGGATTGAGGAGATGCTAAGCACCCAACACCCTGTGTAGATTTTTATTTTTAATCCCCAAACATTAGAAAACAACATAAAACCAGGGGCAGGCCAAGCGTCAGGAAATCCAAGACTGAACCAAAGCCTGGTATACAGCATTCGGGATTGAGGTGATTAAAGAGAAAAGCATCTGCAGCGGGACACTTACCTGGCCAGCACAGGAAGATTTTGGAGCACAAATTATTCTTCGTCCATCATCTGGGAACGGGGAGGCTACATGGTCTCATCAGGGAGACTGGTGCCTACCTTTTATTAAAGTTCTAGAGCAGACAGGACCGCAGTGACTACAAACATCCTTTGTGCTCTCTTAGGCACTAACCAGGGGGTCCTTGGAATGGGTTTGGATATCTTAAAGAGGAACCTGAGGCTTGAACAAAGAATTGGAAGATGACTGTAACTGATGACCTCAGAGAAAACAAGATCTGGACCCAGGGCTTCTCATCCTCTCTGTCCATCCCTCTTGTCTTTGTGTGCTTCTTGGCAACAGGAAAAAAACCAATAATCATTCAATTCCTTGTCTTTCAGTAAATAGGCATGTATTCACATGTTCACAATAAAAAAGTTCCCCCAGGTCCATAAACTGAGAAGTGACCTGGTCTCTACCAAGTTTTGAGGGGGTGGGGCAGAGGAAACAGGTGGCAGGTACATCAGAAGGGCAAAGCCAAAGCATTCATTGGATGGAAGCCTTCAGAAGCCAAAGGAACTGCTTTTATATAATATCCACCACTCTGGTGGTCATAAGAAAACCACCAAGCGCTTTCCAAAAGGAAAGTTACAGAATTTTTGTGAACTGGGCAGGTCAGATGACCCTTTCCCACTTCCACTGCCTGAGTTTTGTCATCTGTGGGTTACAAATACACGCCTGCGTAGGGGAGGATTTAGCAGCACCTGGCAGAAGTCAGCTTCACAAGGAAGTGAACAAGGGACATTCTGGCACAAGGAGCCCCCTCCCTCTGCCCCTTCGTCTTGCCAGAGCTGGGGTACGCGCTTCCACTTGGTGTTTTTGACAAGCTCGGGGTCTTGCTGGGTGAGGAGGTCGGGGGTGTGAACACACAAACACATGAGAAACGGCAGTCCTGTGTATATTTAACAATATATATTTATATATATTTTCTAGATCAGTACATTCAGTTTTTAACTTGTTTTTTTTCTTCACAAACAGAAGAACTCTTACAATAGTAGACTTTCTAAAATAAATACTATTAAAATAGAGCTTCAAAATAAATATTCTATACAAAGGAAACCTTTTGTGGTAACTTTTGTTGTGGGGTGAGAAGGGGCTACAGTGAAGAGGGAAAATGAAGTAATAAGAATGTGGTGGGGTGGGAACCTCGAACAGCTTTTGTTTGTAACACGAAACCAAACTGTGGGGCAGAGAAGAGAAAGCAAGGTAGACACCACACGGGAGTTACCCACAGCAAAAAATGGCAGCGCAAGATTTGTCATCAACTGTCACAGTAAGCGGAGGGCAGGAGAATGCTCACCGAAGGTATGAGCCAAAAGGCCGGTCAAGCTTGTGAGATGCCCTAGTGAATTGTATACAGTGCAAAGTTGTGCGGCCCACACTCTTATCAGACATCTCCTGGGGCAACGGGTGGAGAATATGGAGCTTCGAGGCGACGGGATCTGGGTGTTTGGTTCCAACCAATACTTTCCATGTCGTGCAACCTTGGGCAAGTCATTATCTAACTGGGTCACACTCAATGTACGTTGGGGACCCACGCAGACTCCACAGCACTAAAAGGACTAGTTGACATGTCACATGAAGGTCTTCTGTTTCTGTTGTTGAAGGGGCCCGTGCCAACAGCAGGGATTGGTCTTTACCTCCTTCCAGCCAAGAACTGTGAAAAGCCTTGGTTGCACCCTGCCATCCATCTGGAAGGGTTTTGCTATTGCAGAGCCAGTTCCCCAGGGTTTCTTGGGAGTGTTGGACCTTCACAAATCCACCCTCAGGGCAGGAGCAGCCAAGGTCCACTAGGACACGTCTTAGACCCACGCTTGTGGACCCTACCCCCAGTTGGAGGCAGAACCACCACCCACCCAGGCTGAACAGAAGCGGGAACCAACTGGCTCTTTTCCAAAAAGGTCAAGACGAGGCACAATCCAGCCAAGCCAGCCGTTGGTGACAGAAACAATCAGCCGGAAGCAGCACCCACCAAAACGTGTTCCTCAGTGGACCTCGAATGGCCCCCGGGAAAGCCAGTTTCATTTTCTTTTGCCAAGAAGTTGAGAAAAACATGCCAAAGACTTGCCCTGCAACAGAGCTGGGAGAACCAAAGTTGCTACATGGCTTCCCTTTACCATGGAGCACAGGGGACCCCGGGAGCTTGGCACACATCCATCTAGCAGGTGAAATGCAAACCAAAAGAACAAGCCAAAATGGGGAAGCAAAAAAGTAAAAGAAACCCAAAACCAGAAAAATCCGTGTTTATAACTATGTACACAAAAAGTCGGGGTTCATCAGGGGTCAGGAGGCTGTTTGCCAGGACACAGGGTCTGTGTAGATAGAGGGTCGTGGGGTAAGGTGTGTAGTGTGTGTGTGTGTGTGTGTGTATACACAGCTTATGTAAATTCTCCACAGAATGGGTGTGTAGAACACCAAGATCACCAAAGTGCAACTTGCCATTGGGTCAAGTTCCCCATGGAGATATTTTGAGAGAGGGACCCTGGGAAAGGTTCTGAGGCCTCGCCAACAAGAGTGGACGCGTGCCCTTCCATTGTGGGGGTAACCTCTGCACACCTATTCTGAGGAAAACATCTCCAGTCCCTTCGGTACACATCTGATACATTCAATTAGAAGAAGTGGTTGGTTGAATGTGTTTTTCCTACCATTCCCTCCTATTTGTGCAAGAACATCCATACATCCATCACGACTGTGGCAAGGGTAGCTACACGAATCAGCCTTAGAAAACGCAGATGCGATATTTCCTATTTTACAAGCTAGCAAACGTTATATAAATAAAGCCTAAAATGATAAGACCCTCCCCTCCTTTCCTCCAATCAATAAATACCTACAGTTACGATGAACTTATTCTAAATCATAAGATGTTACTACTAGTCTTCAAGGGAAACAAAAAAAGTCCTAGAGAAGCAGTGGGTACATGCCAATCACAGCCACCTGCCTCCTTGCCTCCGTCCTGGAGGTGGTTCTGTTCCTACAGAACAAACTGGAAACGCCGTGCACGCTCTGCCTAACACTTCCAGTTTCACCTGGGGTAGCTTTTCCCACCCAGGCCGCTTCCTCTCATGGGGGTGGGAGGACACACAAAATACCACACGAAGCAAAGACCCCCCACACAACAACTGGGGAGGAAGGACCACACACAATATAGCTTTTGCATGCAACAAGTACCTACCCATTGGACGTGCTGCGCTGAGTCCTTTAGCACCTTGAGAGAGAGAGAGAGAGTTGCTACGTCTTTGGGGGCTGTTGGGAGGGGGTGTTGTGGCCATGCACAGAAGCGGGGCTCAATCCCCCAAGAAGCCCCTGGAGAATCCCCACCCCCCCTTGCTTTCTTATTCCCCCGCCAGGGCTTCCTAGCACTAAAATAGACTCTTTTTTTGTCATCTGTCTATTTACATTAAAGATACAGACACATCACTGTACACAAAAGGCTATGACAGCAAGCAGCAGAATCAGAAGAGAAGGAACCCACACCCAGCTCGGCCCTACTGTTGCTCTGCCAATGGGAGGTGCTGTCTCTCTTCTTTGCTGTGAAAATCCTCTTCTTGGTGGGAAGGGGGATTGTGTTCCTTGAGGTTGCTCGCCCCCCAGATTTTGAAATCAGCCCTTCCTGGGGGTGGCCCAAAAGGAAGCAAAGTGTTTTATTATTATTTCTCTTTAAAACACCGTTATAGCATCTGGTTTAATTGTTCTATAAAAACATAACGACTGGATCCAGAGACCACAGTCTCAGACTCATTGGCAAAATGATATTTGGTCTCGCATGTGCCGCCCCGGCCTTCTCTACCCGTGAAATTTCTGGAAAGGATCTAGGTAGAGAGAACATGGGACGCATAGTGGCAGGTGAGTCTGTGACTCGGTAAGAACCGAAGGACGGTGTTACGAGCTGAACACCCCCAAGAGTTAGTGATGAAGCTGGAGGAGAGGAATGCACTGTGCAGTGGCTCCTAAGTCCATCTGTGGCTCCAGGGAGGCAGAGCGAGGAACGAGGCCTGGACTCCCTGGCTCTCAGGGGCTCCCAAGTATATACAACAGGGATCACCAGGGTCTTCTCCGCCTTCCCCAAGGCGTTGGGGCAAACTGGGGTGGAGGGTGGGGGAGGAGAAGTATGAAAGTCAGGGCTCCAGGGGTCTTCTTCAAAGGTCCCCTGGTCACTCAGTAAATGATTCCTCCCAGGCAGCCAAAGAGAATGGAAGAGTAGGGGGAGAGGGGGAAGGAGGAGGAACTGGGAAGGCATTCAAGCAGCCGCAACTTCCGGATATGTGTCCACATCTGTGTTCCGTCTTCTGAAAAAGAACACCCCCCCCCCCAGCCACACCACGCCCCTGCCACTGTCTGACACAAAGTTCCGGGACCCTGAAAAAAACCCAAAGTGCTTCTTCATCCTTTTGGGGAAGAGAGGGCGGGTGGTGGTGGTCTTCATTTCTTCAGAAGCTGAGGATGGGGAGTGGAGCAGACCAGCAAGGTCAGCCTCAGGACACTAAAACCTCTGGCCTCCCTGTGGTCTTCTCAGGTGTCAGAAGGGGACCCAGTTCCAGGGGTAGCAGCACGGGGGCTTCGACCCAAAGTGTCAGAAAGACTTGTCCGGTCTGCTGGCCTTGGCGTCGCCGGCGGCTGCCTTGCAGATGACGCTGTTCGTGTGCTTGCAGCGACAACCAGGGCGGCGCAGGCGGTCGTAGCCGCGCTGGGCCAGCTTCACGCAGCCGGTGGCGGGCAGGTAGCAGAGTAGGCACGGCAGCACCAGGGAGAGGGCGCCCATGAAGGACCAGCGGGCGCAGCAGTTTGAGCGGGAGCAGGAGCAGGGGTGGTCAGCGCAGGAGCCCTCGTCATCCTCGTTGGTACAGTGGTAGAAGATGCCTTGCACCAGGCACATGCAGGTGCCGTAGTTGACCAGGGTCTGGGCTGAGCACAGGCACTCCTGGTTGCAGACCCAGCAGGAGGGCAGTGTCCGGGGTGATGCACACTCCTTGCACTTACACTTCCCACAGGCCTCGCACAGCAAGAAGTGCTTGTCTAGCTCCGGTGGGACTGCTGGGCCCTTGAGGTCCAGTGGCTTGCAGTGGATGGCCTTGGGCTGGATGCGCACAGCCCTGGGGGAGGCCTGGTCGGCCACGGGCGGTGGTGCCATGTGGTCTAAGAGACGCTGGTCAGAGGACGTGCTGCTGCTGCTGCTCACAGAGCTGGGGCGCCCGCTGAAGGAGATCCAGTGGTGGGTGACGTCCTGGTCACAGCGGGCCGGCGTCGGGGCCAGCTCCGGGGCCCCACCCCGGGTCCGCTTCGGGCCAATGGGGGGCACCAGGCCGGGGTTGTCTATGTAGTCATTCTCCACGTGACTGATCTTCATCTGGTCGATGGGGAGGATGGTGAGTGGGTGTTGGAGGCGGCCGTGGGGCATGCGGCTGTCAAGTAGGGGCTGGACCATGACTGAGCTGGGAGTCAAGGGGACGCTCTGTGGGATCGGGGGCTCCATGGGGCTGGAGAGGTCCTGGACTGTGCTGAGGAACAGGCTTCTAGGGGCCCTAGGTGGGAGGTGGGGAAAAGGAAGAGAGAGCGGATTCCAGGCATCAGTACTTGGCCTGTTAACACCCCCACCCCCCATCAGGTCCTTGGGAGTCCAAATGAAATGGGAACCCGATTCCCTCAGGAGTCTCCAGCATCCAGGCTTAGATGATTAATAATAACAATTAATAGTAAGTGGTAAAAATAACACTTATTCAGCACTTAATGTGAGCCAGGCAGTCTCCTAAGCACCATATATATTATGTCATTGAGTCCTGGACTCTTCACCCTAAAATGTGACTACTATTATTATGCCTTTTCTAGTTACAGAAAACTAATGTTCAAAGTAACTTGTCCAAAGGCACACAAAACTATGAACAGAACTCGGCAGGAGTTCAAACCTAGCCCATCCGATCTCATTCTTGGAACTGTGAAATACGCTCCATTTTTTAGCGAGTTCAGTGGTTATACACACAGGCTCTGGAATCAGATTCAAGTTTGAATTCTCACCCCTGCCTAGCAGCGATGCTAGATATAAGGTTCTGTAACCTCTGTATCTTTAGTTTTGTCGTCTGTGAAATGGGTTCTTGTGAGAAGTAAATGAGAAAATGCATATCCAGTGCCTAGCATCTTGCCTGGCAGTAATCTGTCACTACCCCAGAGAGCAACAGTGTAGATTTCCTGAACACCAAAAGGACTTTGTGCCAAGCATCGTGCTGAGGATGTAATGACCAAGACAGATAGCCCCTGTGTGCTCCCATCGTGTATCAGCTGGGTAAACAAAACCCTTTATTCCAGTTAGTCACAGAAGGAAGGGCTGCATGTGATGCCTACACATCCAAGATATTAACTTATTACCAGCACTTCGAAGAGCAGCAACCTCCAGTGGCTAATAGCCCCCGGCTAGGTGCACTTCTGACAACTTGGATGGGAAATCCTCTCGAGGGGCACTCACATCACCCATTTCCAAGTGCTGAGCCGAACATTCAGCCTAAATGCTATTTACTAGAATAGCTAAGCCAACTCTGGATCAGTTTCTAATTTCACCGAGAGAGTGCAATTTTAAGTTGGAATCTGGCCAGAGATTCAACTGCAGTGCCTGACACGGAACCCCAGGAAGTCACTTAAATCAAAGAGCGGAAACGGCTTGGTTCAAATTTAGAAAGTGCACATTGTTTTCTATTAGAAGTGCCATTTCCTCGCCTGCTGACCTTTACATTCGGAATTCGGCTGGAGATCAATTTAAAGAAATAGCAGCAGAAGGCCAAGACCTCTGCCCAAGGGGACCCGGTTTGGAATCCAAGAGAATTAGACTCTGGGAAGAGTCCACCAGGGGGTGGGGGTGTGAGACAGGACACGGTGTTGGGTAGAAGGGAAAGATAATGGTCTCTAAAAAAGGAACAGACCTTTGGATTAACGTGTTACAGGGTATGGTTTAGTAAATGCTTGTTCGCGATGCTAATAATGTTGTTTAGGAGAGCCGACCCTGCACTTCTGCTGTGAAGTTCATCTGGCCTCAAAGGGGATGCCTGAGAAGGTAGGTGGTGGATAGGTTTCCACTGCCACTTACCCCCCACCCCTGCCCCCCCCCTTCCAAACTGGGTACACGGCAGGCCCATCCCAATAGTCCAGTCACACCTTGCCTCAGGTGACTCATCCACATTTATCCATGTCTACAGTGAAGGGGAAAAGGCATTCAGGGCAACTCAATATTATGGTTCCCTCCTTGGAAACAGTTCAGACAGTATCAGAAATGGTTAAATTGTTGGCAGAGGGCTTTCATAGATGCTTTCTAACCTGTCTAAAAGAAAGAGCTAGCTCCAGATGCAAAGTTCACGAAGTAGATAAAAGGGAACTTATCCACAGGGTTCTCATCTGTATATCCTCTACACTGCAAATGCAGAAAAGCATGAAGTCTTTTCTCTAAGGTTCAGTGTTCAGTCGATGGATATTTCCCATTTGCACAGGGCCATGTACTATTGGCTTTGCTCCCGTGGCCCTACCTACTTAAAAGATGCTGGGATTTCTGTGCAGTTTTTCTCATGTTGGAGAAAGTCTGCCTAATGGCAACACCTGCCTCCTATCTCCACATTCCCTTCAGATGTAGGGGGAGTGAGCATCTTCTTCAAATGGGAGACTTTCCTGTGGCAGAGTTAGCCTTAAGTGTCTGGTGGGTCTGCCACCAAGAATGGTCATTTCCCAAGGCAGCCTCCTGTGGGGAGCCCTATGGTCAAGGCTGGATCGGGGGTGGGGGTGTCAAATAAGCATCTCTGGCACAGTTTTTCCAAGGATCAGGCCAACCACCCAGCAGAGTCCACTTATTCTTTGCAGGGGTTCCATAGCCTTGCTTCTAGAAATGGGTTTGGGGTTGACAGAAGAGGGTTAGGAGACCCTGGGTCCACACCATAGGGACTTTGCCTGGAGGAAAAGGTGTGACTGAGCATAAGAATGGAAAATGTTGACAGAGGCACAGGAGAAGTATCTCTGGTGCCAGCCAAGAGGTGCTGCAGCCAGAACCCCCTAAGACAAAGCACAATTTCCCTTATTCCAGAAGCTCAGGTCATGAATACCCAGGGTCCTGCCAACAAAACTGTCAGTGGCAGTTTGAAGGCTGTGTTGTCCCATGTAGTTGGGCTTTTTGTCTCTTAGGACTGGGGGCTGGGACTTGCCATGCTGTTGGAAAAAGTAAGGGAAAAGAAGATTATCCACTCCTCTTTACCCAGTTCTATTCCTGGGGCTCTTAAAAACAGACACATTTTTCTGTGGATAAAGCAAAAGGCATGGGCAATGCTCAGGGATTTTGATAGGCCCTGGAATCAGAAGGCAGATTAATGGAAAAGTCCCACCAGGATGCCAGGGTGGGCGCAGCGCCTGCAGGCAATGGGGATATTGGCATTTGTGGGCTCCCATCACTCTCCAGAGGTAGCTGTCAACATCTGGGCCTGTAGTTGGGGCCAGACATGGGGTTGGGAGCTCAGTCCACGATGACTCAGCTCTCTTGGGACATGCTGCATCCAAGATGGCTCCAGCAGGCATGATATATCACAACTCTGATGTCGGATTCCTTCCGGCCACCAGCTCAGCAAAAAAAACAGTGGCTGGCTCAGAGTTGTACTGCTCAAAAACCTCCTCAGGCCTCACTGCCTCCTCACCTCCCCATTAGCAGGGACTTCCACAGGAGGGTTGAATTCATTTGGCTGACAAAGAAAAACTACTTCCCGGGCATGTTTGATAACCCCTCAGCATAGCTAAATGAAGTCTCAAAAAAAAAAAAAAAAAAAAAAAAAACACAAAAACCAAAAAAAAAAACACCCAACAACAACCAAAAAACCCAACCCTCAGTTGGTTTAGAAGATCAAGCTCTACTCACTGGGACACACCCATCCTCCAGTCTAAGCAATGCTGACGGAACTTAAGTGCAGTTTAATATGTACTCTCTGCTTCCCCTGCAAGGAAGGAAGAGATTTATAATATAAATAGGAGAGAGGAGGCTTTGCCTCATTTAGGCTCTTTGGAAGACTGATGGCCAATTTGGAAGACTGTGGACAGAGAAACAAAGCCAGCACTCCACTTAGGCAGAGAAGCACCTCTATCAAGTTTTAGGTGGCATTATTATGGATTAGCATGAGGAAACTTTTACCTCCACTCACAACTTCTCATAATAAATAATAATAAATAATTGTGGAAAGAGCGGATATTTATGAACATACCTTCATGTCAGGCTCTCTGCGCTAAGCCCTCAGTGATTTTCTCATTTAATCCTCACACCATTACCTTGGAGGATAACACCCATTTCGCAAGGAAGAAATGAAGAATAACGCTGGTAGGTGATGAGGGCAAGACCGAACCCACACAGGGAGAGGCTCCAGAGCCTGCAACGTCAGCCCCACAGCCCTGACCAACAGTCAGGGGCTAGGTATTCATGTGAAGACAGGAAAGCACCAGTCACTTTCACAGCTGTGAATTCTACTAGTCCGTCTCCCCCTTCCCCCTGCCCAGTCTGGCCACTAGCCTTCGGGAGCCTCATCAGGCCATCCGCGGGCTCTTAACCAAACCAGCAGGGAAATGAAGCCAGACAGGGGTTACATCAGATGGGCCCCTAGTTCAGGGAATTGTCACTGTTCAGAGTGGAGGCTGGGGGTTTGAAATCTGTCATTACAGGAAGGCTCAAGTTACCTTCGTTTCCACTTCAGTTTTCTTTGCCGTCTCATACACCGCTACTTTACTAAGTGTGTTCATTTTTATTTTTCGTAGAGTCAGATGGGTCTCACCACAGAAGTCCCTAAAACGAAGCCCTGGAATGGGAGGGAATCCCCTCTCCTTCCTCGTACACAGCTGAACTTAAATTAAGGGTCTCTAGGGCACTTTCTCGGATGGGGCTTATTGGTCCAGGTCTGTGCGGAAGGGAAGAAATAAGAGGAAGCCAGAAGAGAGTCCTAGCATACTGAATCAGCAGGATATGGAAAAGCCCAGAGCACAAGGTCCTGTCTTTGCCACTTGGTGGTCTGTGGCGTTTGTACCTGTGGGAGGGGCTGAGCATCAGGACGCAGACCTTGCAAAGCAGGCTGGCTGAAAAGAATTAAGTGGCGTTTTAAATGCCCACACCACCCATCCACCCTTCCCCTTGACTTACCCTGGGAAGAGGAGTTGGGAAATACTTGGAAAACCTGACAGTTGTGCTTTGAAAACTATAGGTCAGCAAATGACAGACTGGCAAGAGGCTCTGAATGAATGGGCAATTTCTGCACCATTCAGTCTCGGTAGGTTCTCCCAGCGAAGGCTATTTAACCCTTTATCAGTTCAGAAGAAAAGGTCTCTAGGCTGCAGGGAGCCTGCCCACCAGTACCACTTGGTTCTTTATGACAACATCCCAGTTTAGTTAATTAAACTCCAACCAGATAATGACTTACTGCTTCAAAAAGACTTTAAAAGGTGTTTTGGGGGGTGGGTGGTGTGTGTGGTATAAGGAAAGCCAGGGACCTGCCTTCCCTGTACCCCACTGAGGAAGACAG